TCCTCTCTAGATTTATTAATCATGTCTTGCACTATGAGCACAATCTCTGCTGTTATCTGAGCAGTTATTTCTGATTTCATTTTTTCCAGATCCTCTTTTGTTGCCAGTTCAGGGAGTCCAGGTGGTTGAGTATCAGAGTGTTCCATCTTATTTCCATTTGGGGTTGCTGTAGGTGATCTGGAAGTCTGGTTTTGAGATTTGTTTATGTGTATTCACATTTCAACTGGGGGGCGGGGGTTGGTGGTGCTGTTGGCACTCGCGCAACTCACCTCCTCTGAGCTGGGAGTGGTGGGACAGCGGCTCAGAAGCCCTTCCTCTGGGCTGGCAGCGGCAGGATGGATGGCAGCCCGGAAGCCCCTACCTCTGAGCTGGGAGCGGTGGGACAGCCTCTATATTTTATTTTGAGACAGGGTTTTGCTACGTTGCCCAGGCTGGACTCAAACTTGCAGCCTTCCTGCCTCCACCTCCCAGAGTGCTGGAATTACAGGCATGCGCCACCATGCTTGGCTTAAAAAATACTTTTTCTATCATTAACTATTAAAAATTGCTAAGAGAGGGCCGGGGATTTAGCTCAGTGGTTCCAGTGCCTGCCTTGCAAGCGCAAGGTCCTAAGTTTGATCCCCAGTACCAAAAACAAAATTGCTAAGAGAATAGAGTTTAAGTGTTCTCACCACAAAAAATAAGTCAGAGGCAATGCATATGTTAATTAGATTTAGCCACTCTACAATGTATAGACAACATATAAGTTAAAATGACATATATATAATATAATTTTTATTAATTTTAAAATAATAAGTAAAAAGATATTAAAAGTCCCACCCCACACAAAAATAGTTTTTTTCTAGTTGAATTTGGCCTTGGCCAATGATCACTGTCTTACTTTGCAGAATATTCAGAAGAGATTCTGCTTCCTGACCTGTGATGCAGCCAGTTACCTTGGAGATAACCTCCGGGGAATTGGATCCAAATTTGTCAGCTCTTCCCAGATGCTCACCTCCTGCTCTGAATGTCCGACACTATTTGTAGATGCAGAGACTGTGAGTATCCTAGAAGTAACCCAGGCTGTGGCAACAGGTTTGGGGAGTATTGTTTTAAAGACTCCTCAGTGTTGCAGGCAGCACCATGCTGTGTGCTATGACTTCTAGAGGTCCTGGGTCTGCAGGGTACTTAGTGAAGGTTGCCAGCACAGGCCAAGGCAGAGCTACCTCAGGGAGTGGGGGGAGAGACCCACCTCGGAGCTGTCTCCATTCTCTGCACTTCTCTGATGACTCTGACTCTGGCAGCTGTGAATGTGGTTGAATACCCTTCGACCCCAGAGCTGACCAGGACAGATTGCCCAGCCAGATGGGTCTCCAGAGCCAACATCTCATCACTTGTCTTATCCCCATGTCTGAGAGACTCATTACCCTCTGTATTCCCCCATCCCCAACTATGAACACTAAGTTTAAAGGATGATTGAGACAGTCTCTGGCAGATTGCTGACTTGTGACTTTATGAGTCCAAGACTGACAAGCTTTTGAGGGCAGCATCATCTGTGATATTTCTTAATATCTTATCACAGAACAGTCATACAGGCTGAATAACTAAGTTCATAAAATCTCTGCATAGTCATTCTTTCCAAGAACCAAATTGTGGTTGGTTGCCCCACAGCAAGGAATACAATGAGAAATTATTCTCCCTTAAGTGACTTAAAATAAATGTAAAATCAGTGTGAGAGTCTCTTTGGAGGTCTGTCTCCATACCACCTGGAATATCACTGCATGACAACAATAGAGTTCATGCAAAAAATGTGTATCATACCTACGTGAGCTTCTGTGGAATATTTAGTAAAGCTTCTCTGCCTATACTGATATGTTTTAATAAATAGATATTTTTCTAGGTGATTTAGATTCATAAGCTAGTATTCAGTTGTAATTGCAACTGATAATAGAGCTAAATCATAGATTTCACAGTTTATTAAAATGGATGCCATTCCATCCCTCTTACATTACTTATAAATAAGCTTCTCCATCTGTGTAGCCATGCCTTTGTGTTGGTATCTCTCTGGGTGTCTTAATTCCAATTTTTTCTTTCTTTAGCTCCTTTCTTGTGGACTTCTAGACAAGCTCAAGTTCAGTGTTTTAGAACTGCAAGAATATTTGGACACCTACAACAACAGAAAAGAGGCCACTCTCTCAGTAAGCTTTTGTGTTTCAGTGCATACGAATTCAGTTAAAACCAAAGGAATATGACTATTATGAATTCTTGAGAAGTGTGGGAATAACCCAACATGAGTTTTGAAGGGATAGTACAGGCTTCATTTTTTTCTCTGTTCACAATCCCAATTCCAATTTAATGGTAGCAGAACTACATAATATAAAGATTATATAAAAACAGAGCCTATAGGAAAATTTTCAACTTCAGTTGTTGGCCCCCTAGTCTTTCTAACAAGAAATCAGTGAAAGAATCTGCTTACTAGGGTTTTTTTAATCAATGTTACAACTTTTCTCTTCTCGGAGATTTGAATGTGTTGATTATTTCCTTCCAGTTTTAGCCTCACTCAAAACTAGCAGTCATACTCAGTCTCATCTCCCCCTTCCTCTTTGCATACTCATGGTAGCTGTTTCTCTCTTAACCTGTGGCTTTTCTTGGCTGTTGCTCTTCATCTTTTTCTTCCTTCATAGATCTAGGCGGCAGAATATTAGAGACAGAAGTGACCTAGAGACCATCTGTACAATACCTGTTTTCTGACAATTAGATGCCAGAGAACTCAGTGGTTCAATAAGAGTAACTGTGCATAAAATTTATTAATGTCTATCTTCCAGGCACTCTAAAAAGAGCGTGGGGTTTGAAGTCAGATGAACTTGGGTTCAAATCACAACTCAGACACTTAAGGGTTCGTGTTCTTGGATTGTTGTAAAGGATATAAGACCTATAGTAGTCATAGCAACTATCATTTTATGAGTCCTTTCCATGAGTCCAACAGCCTGCTAGGAATTACATGTCTTCATTTAATGCCTACAACTGCCCTAGGTGTTGCTATTATTATCCTCATTCTTTAGGAACTAGAAGAGTGGACTTGAAACAGAACTAGTATCTATAAACTACCCAGCATAGTGTCACTTACATGGATGTTCATTCTAAAGTTACAGGCTTGGGTTTATTTATTGCTGTTTTTGTTATTGATCTTCCCAGGACCTGCCCAAGAGTAAGAGTTCTGAATTCCACAATAACAATTCAGTCTATTTCCGCTCTTCATTTGAAATTATTTTCCAGCTTCTTAGTCATCAGCTGGTAAAATAAATCCTTTCATTCTACTCAGTGAACTAAACTAACGTATTGATGCAAGCATGAATTTCAGTTCTTCAGTGCTCATGGCTTCTGTCCACAGGTTTCTTTTCACATCTGTGTGTATTACTATCCCAGACGCTTAAGACTGGAAGAATCTCTAAACAGCTGAGCTATTGCTATAATAGCCTTTCTTACAGTGGAGGAAAACTGTCATGTACAACCTTATCATAATCGTATAAAAGGCTCCTGACCATATATTTATTCATTCTCATTTACACATAAATTAGGAGTTGTCTGGTAGAACTAGAGATATCTCACAGTGTTAAAATTATATTTTATAACGGCCATCATTGAACCCAAACAGATATTTTAATTTCAGTTAATCTTTAACCTCCAAAAGTGATCTTTTCCTAAAAGTCATTACAACAGAATTTTATTTCACTATTAGAAGCATGGTAAATTTTTCCTGAAAGAATTCATGTATCAAATGCTCTCAGATTTCCCTGAATTTACCTGTGTATGTCTGTCTCTTTCTGAAAACAGTGGCTTGCAAATTGTAAGGCAACATTTGCAGGAGGATCAAGAGATGGAGTAATTACCTGTCAACCAGGGGACTCAGAAGAAAAGGTAATAAAAGCCTGTAAGACTATCTCTTCTGTGGTATGACAGTGTATGGTGGTTTTGATCCATCCAAGAAGCATGGAATTTGAAAACAGAGGAGGTAGAATGAGTTATCACATATATTCACATAAAACCAGTATCCTAAGACAGAAAGAATGCCATTTAAGCCATGCATGATTGTGTGCTGATGAGATTTGGGAGGCTTTTCTTCTCTTTAGAAAAGAAGAGGTATAAAAATAATCTTTTTTGGGCCAGGGGTTTAGCTCAGTCATTCTGCCACCTGCCTTGCAAGCATAACGTCCCGAGTTTGATCCCCAGTACCAAAAACAAAAAATTTTTTTTTGTTGGACAGTGTCTAACCATACTAATCATTTCCTAGAAAACCTGTTTTTGGGGCCAGGGATTTAGCTCGGTGGTTCCACCACCTGTCTCGCAAGCAGAAGGTCCTGAGTTCATTCCCCAGTACCAGAAAAAAAGAAAACCTGTTCTTAATTCCAAATATACCCATAAAACCAAATTCAATCAGTTCTTCACTGAACCACTTAGTTTCTTCAGCTGACCTTTCACCAAACACTGAAAAATAGATTTTCCCATTTAGAATAGCTCCAAGTATACACTTCAAACCATCTGGCTGGTAAATGTGTAATGTGTTATACAGGAAATTGGGCAGAAGAGTGTGAATGAATATAAAATCATTTATGCTGCAGTTAAGTGCCTATTTAGTCTACATGGTGATACAATAGTGAGAAATAGATAAGACCTCTGCCCTGGTAGAGACAGACTTTAGTCAAAAAGTTAGAGAGGCCTAAACTATGATATATAACATTAAGCACATGAGAAACTGTAGGCATACAGCAAGGCAAACTAACCACAGAGAAGGGCAGATCTGGGAAGGCTTCTCCATGGAAGCATCCTCTAGGTGGAGATCTAAAATATAAGCCAGAGAGAACTGTGTCTGGGCTGCAGCAAAATGTATGCAGAAAAGTTTGAAAAGAATCCAGAGAGTTGGCAAAAGTCAAACCAAGCAGGGCATGAATGTGTTGCTGCAGTGGTCAGCAACTGAAAAGTTTCAAGGCAGGGATGATTAGATTGAGGCTGTCTCTCCCTCTCTGCCTGCTGTGAAAACAGACTGAAGCGGCCAACAGTAGACAAAGGAAGTTAGGAGGCTGCCAGCCCATCTAGGAGAAGGTGTGATCTTGGACCAACACTGGGAAAACATTTTAGATTGCACATCCTCCAGAGGATATGAAATCATGTTCCTGTTAGAAAGAGTACTTTACCAATGTAAACAGAACTAAAAGTTTGGGATAAAATTTTTCAACTTAATACCAGTGACTCAATTCAAATTTGGTAGTTTTTACTGATCAACTTTACAGTCCTGGGAGTAACTATTCTTGCCAGCACTGAGTCACTTAGTGAGCCTCTTGCTAGGTTTTGTCAAGAGACCAGAGATTGAACAAGGCTGAGAAATATCTAGAGAAGGTATTAAAGTGCAGTTTTTCCCCTTCATGAAGACAGACATATATATTTCATGTTAAGTCATTTGATCCTCTCTGGATGGGAGGCAAGGCAGGTGGCATAGCTCATCAAAGTTTGACCTAAGTCTTCCTGGGTGATTAAGTGACAGGGAGAACTACCACTGGGCCATAAAGGCTGGAACATGAGGAAATTTAAAAATATAATATAAACAATTTATTTTATATAACCGGTGTTTGATGGTGTTATGTACGTTTCTCATAAGCAATGCATTGTCAAAAGTACAATTCGAAACCACAGGGAACTGCAGCTTTTCCAGTAGTCTCTCCATGTATATCTATGATGTGCTGCTTCTGATGATTTGTGGCTCTGATTTTTACAGATATCTGTCCCATTAGCATGTTTTAGAAGTACTGAATATTACCTAGGTTTCAGATCGTATGGCCCCCAGTAGCACTGATGCCTTCTAATTCCAGCTCAGTCCTTCCCCTGCTACACCCTACTGTTCAGACAACTTCAGTCCAGAAAAATGTTACTGGGTTAGGATTTACAGTCAGCACGAATGTAGTCCACTTCATAGTATGGTTTGTATAGTAGTATATTTAAAAAGTTATCTAAACATTTACCCTCAATACTCAATCCTGTTATGTTTTCTGTAATAAAAACTTAATCAGAAAGTACATTTTAATACAGTACAGATTTTTTAGGAACTAGGGTTGAAACCAAATCTCATTTGTTTGGAGTATCCTGGGTAACCCTACTATTTCATAACAGCAATTCTAAATAAATGATCCTCTTCCTCAAATATCCTAATCTTGAAATGTGTATGCATTATGCTTATAACTATTTCTGATAAGTGGCTTTACTTGGTTTAGTTGCTTGGGTTTTTTTTCCCCTCTTGGTTCTTTATTTTCCTCAAACATTTTTGCTTATTATTGCTACTTATTTCCTCCTCATCCATCTTTCTTTGCTTCTATAGATAGATAATCATGCATCACATAACAATAAGGATATGTTCTGAAAAAATGGATCATTTGGTGATATCATTATTGTAGAAACATTACAGGGTGTACTTACAAACTGCAAAGGCGACATCACTGGGTAATACAGTGTTACAGGACCACCATCATATATGTGGTCTTCCGTTGGCCAAAATGTCATTGTGCAGCATATGACTGTATGTAGTATTTATTCTTTCCCATCTCTTGTGTTTTTACTAAACCTAAAGATTAAGAAAATAGAGTTCATCTTCATTCACTTGTATGTAGCAACTCTGTTAGCAATAATCTTGAGGATACAAGGGGGGGGGAGAAGAAACTTTTTCAAGTACTATACACATAGAATCTCATTTAATCCTTTAAAACAATCCTTTGAAAATAAGGGGGGGGGGTTCTTGGGGTTTTTTTTTCTTTTTTTCTACCAGGGATCAAACTTGGGAGCTTGTGCTTGCAAGGTGAAAAAAAGGGTTTTTCCATTTTGCAAGTAAAGAAGCTAAGACACAATTCCAAAGGCCATATTTTCCCTACTTGTCCAGAGTTACTGTAACTTACTTTGAGGCAAAACATATACATAGGGAAGAATTGGAGAATAATTTCTAGCACATATTTAAATGTCTAATATAGGTTTAAAGAGCTCATAAATAATGAGGGTCCCTAAACTACCCAGGAGTGATGAGAGTAGGATTTGTTACAAAAAGATTGGTATACAGGCAAATTCTAGTCTAATGTTTCCAACATTTTAGTAAGACCCATGCAGCACTGGGCTCATGGATACGTTGGTGATCAGAAAACTCAGGCAGTGGCCAGTTGCTCTGAGTAAGATGCTTTCAGTCCCATGTATGTCATAACTCCAGATCTGAGGCTAGTCTGGAAGGCACACTGTATACCACCTAAAGAGAGAGGTTGGCAGTCCTAATAAGTCAAGCAGGACTGGATGGCTTGTTGAAATCATCTGGACACCCAGTGAAATTCTCTGTTGGATTTCCTAGTGGGCCCTGGAAGTTGTCTGACCATGGCCCACACCCTCAGGCTACATACTCTTAATTCCACCAGTCATGACTGTACTATTTTTGAGCTTGAGGTTTAGCTAAGCACAGTGGAGAGTGGGTTTCATCATAGTTAACACTTCTACTGTTCAAAGCCAAAAATAGGATATGGGAGCAAACTTGGAGAAATCTTTATACACTAAAGAAGGCCCCTAAGGAGAAATGATGGTGTCGCTCCATGTTACCATTGAGGTCTTATTTCCAGACATGGAGATATTTTGCTGATTGGAGCTACTATTCACTTCTGTTTCAAAGCAAAATTCAACATTTGGCTTCAGAGCAGTACTTACCTTCCAGTGATTTTTCTCCAACTCCCTTTTTAGGCAGATTTTGTGTCACCTTAAATAATGTGATATAGTCAGTTAATCTAAGCATCCTTTGCATGGGGGCAAGTAAATTACTATTAAGTACTACATGTTTGAGATATGATCAACAAATACAGTGAATGTTTAAATTTTTAAAAATTATTTCCATAAAAGACACATTGCTATTAACCCCCCTCAAAATACTCCCCCTCACTTCAAACACATTTATCCCATCCTTCATGCCATTTTCTAAAGCAGTTCTAGAAGTCCTCTTTCATGACTTTTCATGGCTGCCTTGATATCCTGAATCAATTCAAAATGTTTAGGGGAATTTCTGTCAAATGAAAACATTACAGTGTGACTTCATCTACTTATTCACCACATCTGGCACCTTGCAGCTTCTGGCTCTTCCCCAAAGTCAAAATGACCACGAAAGGTAAACATTTTAAATCAGTTCACAGCATCCAGGTAGCCACAGTGCAACTAAAAACCCTAAACAGTGCAACTAAAGACATTCACAAAAGACGACATCCAGAATTGCTTCAGAAAGTGGCAAGAATGATGGGATAAATGTGTTTGAAGTGAAAGGGAATATTTTGGGGGAGGGCAGGGGTAATGGCAGTGTGTCTTTTACTGGAATAAATTATTTTTAAATTTTTAACATTTTCACTGTATTTTTACAATGCCTTGTGAATTTGAAGGAAGGCTTTTTGTGAAAAAAAAAAAAGACAAATATGATTGGTTAATGATTTAGGCTTCCCGGTGATTATAATAGTTCTCCTAAAACAAGGTGCAGCATACACTAAATATGATATAAAACAAGGAGTGTGATTTGCATGTGTCTCACAAAATCACTTTCACTCCTTTGTATACACAGCCTCACCAGTATTTTCTCAGCTTGTGCATTTAAGAGGAGAGAAAAATCTTTTATGACTTCAGGAGTTTGGTTTCCATTTACCTCTCTTATGGAATTTATTCTGGACTAGCTGCTACGAGGTGGCTAAAATCCATACAAATGCAGGCCAGGGCACTAAGTCTCTGCCCAGCTCTGGCTTCCACAGGCAGTGCTTGCAGTTTCCGCCCTGTGGCTAGCACAGCTGCTCATCTGCTCAGTTCCGCAGAGGTGGTGGCCCAGAAAAGCTGGAGTTATCTCCTCTGCATTTGTCACAGGGATCTCACTTGACATATTATCATTTACAAGATATTTCTGGGCACTGCTTGAACATACAGTATTAGACTTTGGACTCAAGTGCAAAACTGTGTTTTTAGCCCTACTAAATTTCATCTTATTATATTCAAACTTCGTCTTATTATATTCAAATCATCGTTCCAACTATTAGGGCCTTTCTGGACACTGACATTTTCAGTTGTATGTTTCCTCTTTCTATATAATCCATGAATGAGAAGCTTGCAACCTGTGGTCTTATCTAAGTTGAACAAGTTAAATGTTGACTAAGACTTTTCTCCAGTTCATCTGTAATCCATTAAACCTCCTCCTTCAGATATAATTGACCAGTCTTTATTCTACAGGCAATCTTCTTTCCTGTATTGGCTAAAGAAATGTCTCCTAAAGTTATTTTCGGTTTTCTCAAAAATAGTGAATGTCCCAAGGTATATTTTCTGTGTCACAGGCTTCAAAGTATTTATCTTTCTAAACTTTGACAGACATTCATGATCAAGGTCCAAAATAATTACTCAACAAACATAATAGTTGTCAATGTGCCAAAACTACTTGGTATTAACAAGTAAGTGCACATTATTCTTATCTGTTTAGGAGATTAGATACACCTACTCATTACTGAGTAGAGAAGCCTCATCATTAAACTATGTTACCTCCAGCCTACCTAGAATCTAAATTTTATCCCATTTAGTTTAAACCCATGACTTTCAGAAATTAAATATGAAAATAATAGCCAAATATGCTGTGGTTTATCTTCAGTCATGTCAAATTTTTCTTTTCCTGACCAATTATAAGCATTCTGAAGGCAGAATGCAGAGAAACCAGAGATGTCTAAGCTACTGTTAGTAAACAAGCATCAGCTTATTGTGGGCTTTTTAAGCTACCCATTCCCTAATTGTTAATGATCAGTTCTTAACACGTTGGCTCCTTGAGGTTTTTTTTCCTTAAGAAAGCATACTTATAAATCAGGTCATATCAGGAGAAAATGAACAATGCTTGAATAAAATTCTTGAGACCAAATAAAATAATCACATTTCCATAACAGGGCCAAAACACTGTTAAGTCACTGGAACACAGAAAGATGTCTAAATGAATTATTTTTAAAGCCTGGGAATAGGAAGACAATGGACCAGGGGGAAAGCAAATCTTAATATTTTCCATGAAACAGCTCCTTAGAAAGGCATCGTTCTCTACCTTTTTGAAACAGTAGATGCAAATTGGGTCCCAACCTGTGGCCTAGTAAAAGATTTTGAGATAATAAGTATCAAGGAAGCTTGAAGCAGCCTACCTAAAAAGGAGAGTTTTAAAAGGATGCTCATCAAACCTACCCACCTCCCAAGAAATATACTACAGTATTTTGTGTCCTGAGTACCTGGTGGGAGAAACACATCAACAGTGACATTCCTTCGCACCAAAATGGAATCAGAGAGCTTCATTTGCCTTTGTTGGTCAGAGAACCTTTTACTTTGACTCATTTGATGACCTTCTTGGATTACTACTTTGTTTAGAAAAACAGCAAAAGGATGGCAGTTTTCTTCACACAAGATCATGTAATTTATTCAGCACGTGTTTCATTACACTGCTGAAAAGTAAATTCCATGCACAGGCACTTACTTACTAATGTAAACATTAAACATCTCTGTCACATTTGCTGCTTTCTGAAAAGTCTTCACAGTGGAAATGCTGTATGCATAGAGACATTAAGATTAACCCTGTGTGCCCATGTGATATGTATATAAGTTTTGGTTATAGAAACTACTAGACAATGTTTTCTTGAAAATAGTAGCTATCTCAAACCATATAATCTACCTCACAGGCTTAAAGAGGTTTATCTTTCAAACCATAGAGATACATATGGCCAGGGTCCAAAAAACTACCCAGCAAATATAATGTAATAACCATCAGTGTGCCAAGCCCCATAGATAATAGCAATAGGTAAAGGAAAAGGAGAGCCCTGGATGGGACAGGAGCAGAGGCTATTTGTTGTGATCCTTCAGTTACTACATTTGCAGATACTAATAAATAATAATTTGATAGTTTCATTTGTTCTTTTACACAATACCTTATGTTAAAGTACAATACATTAAACTGATAACCTAGAGTTTTTGAAAGAGCTTTAAAGAAAAGAAGTTTCTGTTTCCACGAATTAGAAACGGAATGAGACAGATCCTTAAATATTTTGAAAATTCAGAACCAGATAAATTGACCTTTAACTAGGAATGGTCATACTGATTTTTAAAAAATATTTTGTCAAGTTGTGGTTATCTCTTCTCAAATACTTAAATTTTTGTTAAATCAATTCTATGGTGACATCAAAAAATGGTAGCTATAATTGAACATGGCCTGGTTAAAAATTTATATTAACTAAGAATTCTAAATTACTTTCAGAAATTATCTACTGGAGAAAAAAATTATTAAAAAATTAAGTGCCAGCAAATGACTTGTCATATCTCATATTTGTTTGAAGATACAGTATACAGTGTTTACTCCTTTGCAATTACGATGTCTAGCAGTCTTATAAAACGTTATCCATGTGGAACCCAAACCAACTAAAGAAAATACCACTTGGGTTGCTAATTATACTCAGTGTTAACTGTATGGTCATCATTTAGTAGTTATAAAACCAGACATATTAAAGACTACCTTAATATAATGTAACACTATAATTTGAAACTATATTCTTCAAATTATTCAGCTGTCTTTCTCACAGTTTTACTATGTTACATATTTTTCACATTTATACACTAAAATCTCCAAGCAGTAAGAATTTTTATTTCTGGCCTCCAAGACTGACATGACAAAATCTAAACCAACTAATCAGGTGACCTAAAAAATTAAAAATTATTTTTTTAATGATATGTTTCCTATTAGAGCTTGTTTTTTAACTGGAGTGCTGTGCATGTGGAATGGGTACAACACTGGCAATCATTTTTCAAGTTTGGGCCAGCAACGCTAATACTGCTGACGGTTCTGCTCTTGGAAGAGGGCCGTGCTTTCTGTTGCATGCATACACTGACCCTGTACTTTCTTTCCTTTCCTTTGTTTCCTGTGCCATGCTTGCTGTGTAGCAAATGGAATCTCTTGCAGTAAGTTAACTTTCTTTCATACTCTTTGTCCACTTAGGCATGGGTCCATAACAAACCTTATTTTTACTGTTACTATTATATCTCTTAGCATGTTTTCCCTTTTTCATTGTTTTATTTTCTTGGGTAGATTGAGACATGGCAGTTTATCAGTAGTTGCATTCTGGGCTGCTTTTGCCCCACAGTAGAAACCTAGATTGCTATGAATTCTTGTATTGTTAGTAGAATATTTAAAATAATAAGTATCATTATTTGGCACTTAGGAGAGTCAGGAGTTTTCATAGCTAGGTTTCACTCTAAATTGGGAAGGTGTGGCATTATTTTTAACAATACTTTTTATTTAATTTGCAAGTCCCTGGTAATTACTTTTCATATCAGATTATAAAAGGTTTCCCCAAAACTTAAATGGTAGTATAACAAAATGTTTTACTAAAACAACCAAAGACCTAGTTTGGGTTAATTAGTAATTGTCTATACTTCTTTAAACTTAGGCTGTGTACCAATATTTAAGGATCAAATCTAAGCAGAATTGTTTTCCCCTCCGAGCATGGAAAGAGGAGGAAAAGGGAAATGTTTTCAGCATATTCTGAGCATGAATTTTAGTAATTTTTTAAAATTGGGATAAAACATATGATACTATATTCATAATATCAATAGAATATTCTTCCTAAACCTAAACTTAAATGCTTATACTTCCTCTCCTTAAATGATTTGGGGGAAAATTTCCAGTCTCCCTGAAGCTCTCAATTCCAAACTGAGCTTTTCATAGTATGTTTAAAGAAGAGCTCTATTTACCCTTCCTTAAACCCATTTGAAAACTGAACATTGAAGCTTTTAGTTTAAACCACATATATAACCCACTTTCACTGCTGACTACTGAACCAACAAATTCTACGTTGTGAAGGCTATTCTTTCATTGAACCTCATCTACTACCTAGGAGCTACCTAGGAATTAACCATTTGTTGAAATAAAATAGGCAAAGTATAGAGGATACAGCTAAAATAGTAGTATAGGCATTGGTGTTGAGATTACTTATTATCTTTTTTTCCTCATAATATATATAGATAGCCATATAAGGAAAACATTTTAAATTCCACAGGCCCGAGGGCCATTTTGTACAATGGTCATTTTTAATGTTCTTTCCACAGGAAGTGCAGATGTGTTCATAACGTCTTAAGCATTTTGGCCCCTTCTGTAGCTCTTTAATTCAAAAAACTTTGAGCACTGAATAGAAGGCTGATACAGTAACTGAGAGGACTGTGTGGCTTGTGTTTACACAGACGTTAGGATGAATGTCTGCTTGATGTCAGCCAGAACCATCACAAAGAGTAATCTCTAAATTTATAAATTTAACACCTAGAAATACTTAATGTCTTTACTTTCTTGCTAAAAGAAATTCATTTTTAAAAGCAATTATAGCTTAAAAAATTAATACAACCACTCAGCTATAATTTGTAGGTACTTAATATGCAAATATAATGGAAATGTGGCAGTTCATGCATTCTTTTTATACCTGCTGCTCTCTAATTAGCCATCTTCTATTATATGGAATATAATGTTCCATAATGCACTATGAATTTCTCACCAATATGTATTGAATGGATTTTGTTTTTCTGTTTTATTTGTAGTAACTGCTAGTTGTGTTGCCTTAATTTTTAGAAAAAGTATCTCCACTGAGATGTCACTAGTTATACAAGAATGATCCTTAATAATTATTTCTTCCCCTGCACATTCTCTCCTTAGCAACTAGAACTGTGTCAGAGATTGTATAAACTACACTTCCAGCTGCTGTTGCTTTTTCAGTCCTACTGTAAGCTTATCGGCCAGGTGCACGAAGTGAGCTCCATGCCAGAGGTGAGTCCTTGTGCTCCCACCCCCGTGTCCTGCCACTAAAATCATCGTTCTGTTTGGCTCTCCTTCCTGCCCCATTTGTAACTGCCAAGTGATTATGTTCCCACATAATTATGTTGCTCAAGAACAAGTCAGAATAAATGTCTTGTACTTATTTCTGTTCTCATTTTTTAAAGGATTCTAAGGCAAGGCCAGGCTAAGGTGAGAAAATTTAGGGGCAAGGCCCTTGCTACATATAGTGCTCTGGGTGCCTCACTTAACTCATCCTGATCCTAGCCCTGGGTCTGGGCTTTCTTTGAAGAAAAAAAAAAAAAACTCCTTGTGGTATGGTTTTTCTTCTTCATATCTAACCTTTCATACTTGCCCTAACTTTGAGGTAAGAAGAAAATGTCTAACTCTGTATGATATGTCTGTATAAAAAGCAAAATAACTTAAACGTACTACTTCCAAGTGAGCCAATTTTCCCAGGAGTGAAAGTAAAGTACTAGTGGCTTGTACTAGGTATTAGAGGAACACAGAGGAAAATTGCCTCATTTGCCTAGAGGAAAGAACGGTTGAAAATGGAAAGCTTTCTGGAGCAAGTCACACCTGAGCAGAATCTTATAAGATAAAATGGAGTCATACAGTTGAAGTCCAATCAGAACAAAAGCATGGGCATAAGCAAGGTGGTAAGAGAGAGAAAGAAACTACAAGCAGTTTGGTATTGCTGCAATATAAAATGCAAATGAAGGAGGAGTGATGAAATAAGGGAGAAGAGAGAGGTAAGGGTAAGATCATGCAAGATGCCTTGGGAGCATCTGAGTAAGATCAATGTGATGGCTACATGGAAGGTGGATTTGATAAGTGAATGGGAGGGATGAATACTAGTTACAAAGCTGCTAAAATAGCTCAGACAGGAGAAAAGTGTTTGAACTGTGACCGAAGTGCTAGGCCTGGAGAGGAGAAAGAAATGTGGGTGATATTTAGGACAAAAGATCAATGAAACTGATGGAGGTGGTGAGAGAGGGGAGAGTTGAGGATGATACTCAGGTTCCATCTCAAATAAGCCAAGTGATCTTAGCGCCACAGCTGCGACAGGGACATACAAAGAAGGACTGAAACATTTGTCCATCCAGGCAGTCAACACCTTTGTCTACTAGACCAAAACCAGGTTGAATGACAATCTTGCAAGCAGTGAGATAGGAGGACCTGAAGTCAGGAGAGAGACCTGGACCAAAGGTGCAAAGGTGATCATCATCACAAACAGGCAGGGATCAATGAGATCCTCCCACTGAGAGCAGTAGGAAGAGGACGGAGCCCGGGAGACCTGTCTAACAAGGGGGCCGGGGAGGAGGAACCACAAAAGTAACAAAATGGCAACCACTTCACTATTATTACTCAGTTTGGAAAGGAAAACTATCTAACTTTTAGGTACAGTATACCTTTTTTTTATACAACTTTTAAGTGTACTTTCAAATGTTGTGTATGAGTTCTTCACCAACCAGTCTTTCTCCACAGAATTACAAATTCTCAGACAAAAGAGAAAAGAGGTGATAACTTATGATTTGCCATGTGGTCAAGATAAAGTTTATGCTTCTTATTCATCTAAGCAAATAGTAACAGGATCCTTAGAGTCCATCTCTGCTCAAGAAATAGAAGGCAAGCAAATACAACTCATACACCATCTTCCATATTGAGAAACCAGTTGGAGCAAGATGGCCCAACTAGAGGTGTACACTATACTACCCCAGCAAAAAAATAAAAGACCAAAACAATGAACTGAGTGTTCCACTCAAATAATTTTCCAGAATAAATGGCCACCATCAACTTGCATTACAAAGGAAAAAACCCCTCAAATTTTATGTCAATATTTTTTAATGCTCTTAAGATCAAATTGTGAAACAGTTGTCTTCCATGGTATATCTCGAGGACCAGTAGAAGTAACATAGTTCCTCTCTTATGATTTACTTCTTAATACTCTGGAACTTTAGGGTCCAGAAATTTTTGAAATGAGGTCTTGCTGTGTTGCCCAGGCTGGCCCTGAACTCTTGCCTCAGCCTCCTAAGTAACTGAGACTACAGGTATACACCACTGCCCCACCTTGGTTTCATAATTTTAATGGAAAATATCCTTTACCTCTGTAGTATTACTACTAAGCTTACATTCAGATTATTCCTTTTCATTCTTGCCCTTAAAATTGTGTCTTCAGTCTTTGCTGTGGCCTAGAATAACAAGGCATACTGATTGTTAGAATGGGTTCCGTATTCACTATTACAATTACTGAGCACTTACATACCAATTTGTACTAAGCATTTTATAAGTGTTACTTCACTTAATTTTTTTTCCATTTAGTTTATTGGTACATTTTAGGTATGCCATACAGTTACATTCATCATTGGGATCTTGTACCTTTACATGATGTATCTTGGTTCTTATTCTTTTTTTCCCCATTCCCCTGCCCTCCCTTCACCCTCTCCATCCTTCCCTATTTACAAAGACTTTGTTTCCATGTTTTTCCTTTTCTCATATTTTTTCTTTTCCCTTCTTTCCTTTCCCCTACCCCTCCCACTTCCACTACTCCTTTAGATATTTTCTTCCTATTTCATGATATCAATTATACATTTTGATTCTTATTTACACTTTTAATTTTTCACACCAGAGAAACTGTTCTGTATTTATACATGTGTGTCCTATTTATTTCACTTAAGAGTATAGCCTCAATGTGCATCCACTTAGCTACAAATGTTTCCAGTTCCTCAT